AATGGAGATGCTGATAATGTTGATGTAGATGATGATCACGATGATGGTGAGTATGGTCATGTATTTTACTGCTTTTGATAGAGAAAAAGTAAAACTATAATATAAAATAATGTTATTTTAAAAAATGACATCTAAATGTTTGACATTAATGTAAATGATCCCTAAAAAGGCAACGAATGTCTGGGGTACTCAAAATCGCAAGTTAACGGTATGACAGGAGGTTTTATAAGTAGCACTGTCCGAACCAAAAGCCACCCGTTCATGTTTGTAAACTATCACAATAGTCTGTTTAGAGGGCATGGTGTCTTGTTATATTGTTGTCATGGTCGAGCTCTTGCAAAAAGAAATGCCCCCCCCCCACCCCCTCCCTCTTTTCCCCGTTATCTTTGACGTTCGTTGTCTCATGTTGGAATGTAATTTATTATTAGGGACAGCATATGGAATCTATATTCTTTTCTTAAAATGTTATTAAGTGATGAACACGTAGGTAGACTGTCATTATGGAAAGAGTGTTGGTGGTAACCAAATTGAATGGAGTGTGAATAAATGTATGCATGTCTTACGCGTATTTGAGGAATAATGCATGTGTGTGTGTTTGTGAGTGTGTGTTTGTGTGTGTGTGTGTATGTGTGTGTGGCGTGTTTATATGTGTGTGTGTGCGTGTGTGTGGTGTGTGTATGTGTGTGTGCGCGTGTGTGTGGTGTGAGTGTATGTGCGTGTAGTGTGTGTGTGTATGTGTGTGTGTGTGTGTGTGTGTGTATGTGTGTGTTCGGGGAAACAGTATTGGGCTTATAAATAGGGGTTTGGATGAAGGATCAATATCATTCTATTGTCTTAATTAGGGGAATAATTAGCATCATGCCTTCAAGTGTCTCGCACACACACGCATATTTTCTTTAAAATGCTGCTTTCAAATGTTTCAATATTCGAATTTCGCTATCAATTGCAGCTTAAAATCAATACCACTGTCATAGAGATACGTCGTTGTTGGAATTTCTTTCGTCCACACAAACCACAAACAGGCTGGTGTTCCAACATGCAGGTCTTGAAAATAAAGTCAGTTCTCGTCTGGACTTGAGTATTGGCTAGCAGGTGGGCGTGCATGTTAAAGGGAACTGTTGTCTGAACACGTCCCACAGTATGTTAAGGGGAACTGTTGTCTGACGTCACACAGCATATTAAAGGAACTGTTGTCTGAACACGTCACACAGTATGTTAAGGGGCCTGTGGTCTGACAACGCACAGCATGTTAAAGGGAATTGGTGTCTGAACACGTCCCAGAGCATGTTAAGAGTACAGTTGTATGACGTCACAATGCGAGCAGACCTCTATGCTCCGGGCAGCAGACGTGCACAGCAGACAGCAGACTCCACCTACCGTACTGGCTCTTGGGCACCACGGCCGTGGCGGTCTCCAGAGGCTGGGATTGGCCAACCTCGTTTTCCGCGATGACCCGGAAGTGGTAGGAGTTACCCTCCACCAGTCCCGTGGCCTTGTAGTCCAAGGTCGCGCCGTCCAAGGTCGCCACCTTGGTCCAGACGTTTCTCTTGGCGTCACGGCGCTCGATGATGTAAGCTGTGACGTCACAGCCACCGTCGTCTTTGGGAGGTTTCCAGGTGAGGACAGCGCTGTCTTTGGTGACAGCAGACACCTGGATGGGGCCCTCGGGGGCTGAGGGGACGTCTGTGGGGAGGAGGGGAGGGGGTGGAGGGAGGAGGAGGGGACGGCGATGGAGGAGGGGGAGGAGGGCAGGGGGAGGAGGGTCAGACAGGGGAGGAGGGAGGGGGAGAAGAAACAGTGAGTTGGTCAGATCTAACGAGGGGATCTAGACATGGGAACATATCACATGACAGAAGTAGGGGAACGTAGACGAGGTATCAAAGGAAAGTGGATAAATCAATAATTACTGAGACCGCAATGGGCTCCCCGTAGTAGAAATCACTGTTTCAGAGTCTGGCCTTGACACTCACCGAGAATCTCCACGTCAAACTTGGCTGTGGCCTCCCCGACCTCGTTCTCCGCCACCAGGGTATACAGACCGTCGTCCTCCTTGCTGATCTTCTTGACCGTCAGACTTGTGCTCTCTTCCTGGATGTCCAGCGTGATGCGGCCGCCTGTCCGGAGCTTCTGGTCCTCGCGAGACCACGTGATGCGTGGCGAGGGGATTCCCCCGACCCGGACTGGGATCTTGAGGGTGGCTCCGACCTGGAGGCTAATTAGGTCACGGAACTTGTTGTCGAACTCCAGGGTGGGAGGAGCTGGAGGGAAGGAGGGAAGGAGGGAAGGAAGGAAGGAGAAACATTTACTTCACGCATAATGTCCTAAATTCTGTATTCTTTTTTTCTGTTTATTTTCTTTGTTTTTTCTCTAAAATAATCTTATTTGAAAACTTTGAAAAATTTGGGATAATGAAAAGTAACATTACGATGGGTATGGTCTTTCGGGAAGCTCAAAATGTTCTAATATTCTACTAAGGATTTAATCACAATTCATACAGTCTCAATACATAGAGCACATCAGTCAACATTAACTCCATCACTCTCTGCCAACTTTCTACGGGTTTATTGGGAGAATTGTTGGAGAAGTAATGATGAATTTTTTACACAAAGGAAAAGATATATAAAACTATGCGTTTTTAAAATTTCTCTACATTGAATTGACATGAAAAAATCTGACTTACCACCCATCTGGTTTTCTCACCTTCAATCCAATTTTCTTTGGAGAATTATTGTATTGGTGTGCATCTCTTTAGTACAACAATAAATAAACAAACACAAACAAAAATACAAACAAACAAACAAACACAAAGTACGCGTACACACAAACAAACAAACAGACAAATGTAAAGTACAAATAAAGAAACAAACAAACAGACAGACAGACATAAAGTACAAACAAACAAACAAGCAGACAAACATACAATACAAAGAAAGAAAGAAAGAAAGAAAGAAAGAAAACAAACAAACAAACAAACAGACAAACACAGAGTATTAAGAAACAAACACACACACACAGACAAACATAAAGT